TACTAAAACTCTTTAGTGCCTCAATAGACCACCTTTATCAAAGGCTCAAATCAAAGATGAGAGAAAGAACAAGGCTTTGAAAAGGCCTTATATACCTAAATCTTCAAGCCATTTATTGGCAATTATCATTGCTTGTAATTTACAAGTAAAAACTAATTTAAGAGCCTTCTTACTAGTTAATCTATGCAAGTAGTACAACTTATCATTAAGAAGTCAAGCTATACCTCCCATGATCTCCAATCAATATCTTTTATAGAAAGGACCAATGATTGGTATCTATTTACCATAAGATGATGAAAAATCACCATGGGTTTTAATCAATGCATAGATTTTTAATTCCTAATAACTTAATTAACCAAAACATCTATAAAAAAAATTTACTAACTTGGATATATTAACCTTTGGAAGAGATTTTTTAAAAAATGACTTGATTTGTTGTTGTAGGAGTATTGGTTGAAGAGTAGAATAGCTCTCCATCTTCTTTCTTCACTATCACTTGTAGCTTCAAGAGTAGAATAATTCTTCATCTTCTTCCTTTACCATCACTTGTGGCTTCTAGAGTGGAATATCTTCTATCATTTTCTATCATACTCCAATTATAACTAACTTCATTATTCCTAACAACCTCTATTTTTTCACAATCAATAAATAAATAATACTATATCTTATCAAAATACCAAAAATTAAGTAAATAAAATTTTGTTGCATTATTTTGGACTCAAAAATTCTCTAAGATCTAAAAACTTATCAAGTCTATAACAAAGAATATCTTGACACAACATAAGACCAAGTATACTAGAACAAAATTGAAAGTAACTAAATAAAATGGAACATGAAAGACAAGACTATGTAAAAGAGAATAGAATCATCAGCAAAGGTTAAAGGAGCACATCTTTGTATGTTGGGATAGCCAATCTAAACCAAATTATTACAAAATAAGAGTAGCAGCCAACAGTAATGGCCAAAGTGAAAAGAACAATTTGTGGAAAAAAACATTCTTTCTTAACAATTATGCAAGGTGATTTTCAAGCTCATCAAAAGATTTTAAGTAAAATAAGTTTAATTTATGATTCAATTAGATTAGAATTTTGGGATAAAAAATCTAATTAGATGAGATTTAAATTAAGGATGAATTTAATATATGGATGAATTTTTATTCATAGATAAATTATTATTCAAAGATGAAAGTGGTCAATGGATGAATTTTAATTAAATAGAGATTAATATAAGATAAAAAAATAAATTAATTAAATTAAATAAGATAAAAATAATATTATTAAGAATTTTTAATTATACAAAATTTGTCATATGACTTATTAATATGTGTGAGATGGTAATAGACAACTTGTTTGATTTCTTGAGGGATTTAAGGAATTTTAAGTGTGAATAAATTTTGATTGAAGAAAAAACTAAAATTTCTAGAATTTATCTAGTTAGTTTACTTATTCTGAACTAATAGAAGTTTATTTTAACTCACAACAGCCTTTTTACCACTTGGGACTTTTTTCTTATTAATTGATTCTTCTACCTCTTCTTCTTCATTAGTTTTGCCTCTTTTGACCTCTATTGATACATCATAGGATTCCCTCTCACCATGTTCACTCATCAAATAGGTTTTAATGGTGGTTGCATCAAATAGATCATTCTATATAATTAGTCTTTTGATAGCTTGTGCTCCCTTTACTATTAATTTTTTAGATACATATATAGAGCCTCTCACCTTGTTGTACTGAGATTCAATGATAAAAGACTCTATCTTTCTATTATGTAAAAAGTTATTCCTTTTTAATATATCTTCCATCAATTTCTTCATGCTATCTCTTCCAAAGTTATTTTTTAAAGGCTCATCTATTAGAACATCTCTAATTCTACCTTCTTTGAAGATAATAATACCATTCTTCATAGTATCTTCATAGGATCTACAATCACTATATTTGTGATTTGGATTATCATATCAAAGGAACCTCACTACAAACCTTTTTGATCCTTTAGCCAATTGTGAAGTATCTAACCTTGTAGATTACTTCAAAGCATTCATTTCTATCTTCAACTCTTTCATACCCTTCATTGACTCCTCAAGGGTGTCTTCGTCTATAGTCTTACTTTTTGAAGAACTAGATGGAATAGAAACAAATAAAGTTGTTGCAAGAGCCTTCATAGTTATTATTGATATTATTCTTATTCTTGTCTCTAATCTTTTAGCCTTTATATAGTGTTGCTTTGCAATGACGTTTAGTGCTTCTTCTAACACTTTCCAGTTGGTGATAAAACCATCTTTTGCCATCTCATCTTGAAGATCAAGAAACAATCTATCTTGTAATATCTTATTTGCAGCTTATAGAAATAATTTTGATTTCTTCATCTCTAGAAGGTACTTCTCAAATAATAGAAGTTATTCAAACATCTTTTGAAACTGCCTTAGTAGCTTGTTTGGTCTTATATATTTATCTAGTTGTTGTTCCATCCAATTAAGAAAACCTCTCTTCAACATTCTTTTAATATCTTCATCAAAGTATTTATGTCTTAATTTCTCTTCAAATCTAGGCCATGTGTTCACAATGGATGCTTTTATATAGTTGTTTCATCTTTTTTTTTGATTTTTGAAACATCTAAATCAAAGGTCTCAATTATCTTGTCTTTTAGAATTTGATAGATTTTCATTCCACAAGTATAGATCTTCAAAAATCCAATAATATTCTTTCCATTAAATCTCCTCACTTTGCTAATAACATCCAACAATACTTTGGTGGTTCCTTGTCTATTTGCTTTAACAACTTGTTAGACCATAAACATTTATATAATCTTCAAAAATTCTTTTATGAGGTTCTGACCACCTCTTCTATTTGAGCCTCCTTACTCTATATCCTCTATCTTTCCTTGACTAATCTATTAGTTCTAAAGCTTCTCTCAATGGAAGCACCAAATGTTGAAATAAGAGTGTTTGCTTTAGAAAAATACATGGTTTATGGTTGTAATTAGATATAGTCAAATAATATCTTTTATTCAAATGAACTCTATCACCTCATATTCATGATAATATGTAAAAGTTGTTGCCCCTTCTTCATTCAAGTAGTTGCTATAGCTCCATACTTCATATGATTTGAGTATATGATAGCTCTTGGAAGAGCTACTGAGCCCATACATATGTATATCAAATATCACTTCCTAAAATTTTCTATAACATATTTTATGAGCAAATAAAGCCACTCTTTATATTAACATAAGGTAATTGATTCTTCCTTATCTAAAAAGATACTATAATTTTCTACTAATTATTCTTGAAGCAACTAAGAGCTTTTTAAGAAGCTTATAATAATAAAAATAATTCTTCAAAATTCCAAATCTAAATTCAAAATACACTCTAAAAAAATCCCAAAGAAAAATCCTAATGAGTGACTGGTTTTTTTCTTTTTTTTAAAAAGGCACCATTAATTCATACTAATTCTTCTTAGAGCAAGTGAGAGCAATTTAGAAAGCTAACAAAGAGAGGAACGACTTCTCAAAATTGCAAATCTTAATTCAAATTATACTTTGAAAAAACCTTTAAAGAAAAATCTTAAAGAGTGGCTAATTCTTTCTTTTTAAAAAAGCATTGTTGATTCATATTGATTCTTCGTGGAGAAAATAAGAGAAATCTAAAAAGCTAATAAAGAAAAAAAAAAAAACTCCTCAAAAATTTCAAATCCAAATTCTTACAATATTTTATATTATTTTTATATATTATATCACTTTCCAACATGACAATAGGTAAAGGATTATGGAAGGGTTGCCCAGGTTGCCATGTGTATTAATAAAGAAGGATGTTTCTTCTTTACAAAATGATTAAGGTTCCATTTATATTGCGACCTATTCAATGGTCTATTGAATCTTCAATTTGCTTGGATTGTGCCTTCACAATACCTTCTAAGTCAATAATTGTGAACCATGGAATTGATTCATTAGTGTGTTTCAGTACAAAATATGTACTTATGATGCTTAAAGTCACTAGTTTAGTGAGTTAATGTAGGAATTTTGAGATAAATAGCATAAAATAGGATTTCAATACAAGAATGGATCTCTCATAGATCTTCTTTGAGAAAGAATTTTAGAATAAATAATTTCTTCTTAATTTAGCTAATATAGATTTATGATTTCGTAATAGTAGCTCTTTACTGTTAGGAAAGGTTTAATGGAGCTAGGAGCCAAATGTAAACTTTATTTGGTCAATTCAAAAAGAAAGAAGAAAAAAAGAGTGAAAAGAAATAGAAGTAAAAAGAGAGAAGAAGAAAAGAAAAGAGAAGCAGAAAGAAAGAGTAGAGAAGAAAAGAAAAAGAAGAAAGAAAAGAGAAGGAGGAGAAAAGGAAATGAAGAAAAAAGAAAACAGGAAAAAGAAAAAAAGAAAAAAAAGAAAAAGAGAAAGAAAAGTAGAAGAAGAAGAAAAGATAGATCAGAAGGGGAGAGGCTGCCCCTAAACCCTACTCCTCGATTCAATCCATTGCTGACATTCCACAACAGGAATCAACAAATCCAGCTGAAGAGGAAGAAGAAAAGAAACGCAAAAGAAGGAATTAGGAATTGACTAGCATCGCAGTCGCCACATCCACCCAATTCAATCATCATCAGATCCTTGTGTCCAAGCTCTTCCTCTTCACATGCCCCCTTGATGTTGACAGAACTGATCGTGGCCTTTGTGGCGCAATTCGAGTCCCTGGACGACGATTTGTAATTTGTGAGATGGGTCCATCTCTGGTACCATTCTCAAGATTATCCATCCTTGAGTTTCCAATTCCATGTTCGTGGTTTGTGTGATGTGTTTTCTCGTTTATGGGTTGAGTGTTTTGATGTTGGTGAATTGGTCGCATGCCGTGCAACAGCCAGTTTTGTGGATGGTTGAGTGTTGTCCAATTTTGTAGGAGTTTGTGTGAGGTTGCGTGAGAGTCCACATTTCTTGAGTTGACTTGAGGCAAAATTACGCGAGATCAAGATATTTACACTTTTGTTTGCTTGTACGTTAACCAGACTTGACTGAATATATTCAGTTGATTGACCACATAACAGCACTTAATTGCTGCTACGTACAAAAAAAACCTGGGGCTTCTCAGATAACCCAATACCTGTAACCTAAGAGCGACAAAAGTATTAAATATTCCAGTTCAAACATCCACCCTCTGTGAATTTATTTCTATACAAAACGTGCAATTTGGGCGAGACGCTGTAAGAGGTGCAAAATGAACAGAACCGTTACTGACCAGGTCAAGTTACTGAGAGGCAGGGAATTATGACGGACATGCGTTTCACTGGCGACTCAGAATCTGATTCTGGGTAGAAGTGCCTTGCATCCGAAGCATTCCTAGCCGCACACAAAGCTTCCTCGTACATCCTTGTATCCTGCTGCAAAGAGATACTGTGAACATATGATATAAATTGCATCCAACTTGATGTTCGAACACTCACTTTGCTCGATTCCTGAAGATCCTGCACGACTAGTATTGCTCGAAGCATTACCGACACCTTCCATTTTTATACAAGAGCATTGTTTACTCCAAAGCTCCCCACACCTGTAAGATAGCAACAAGTGAACTCCAAAATAAGAGGCTTCACACAAAAAACATTTTAAAAAGCTTTTTTCATAGTTTCATTAGCCTGGATTTATCAAAATCGCCCTGATTTACTCCATGAAGATTAAGGAGCTGCCTGTCTAGGACAAATTTAACAGGCTTAAAAACAATTCAGCAGTTAAACCTAACTTGATAGAAGGAATTCACAAGCGACTTCCAGAGAGTATCAAAGTCATGGCGAAACTAGAATTATGATTGCACAATTCGTACAGATAATTCCTTTCTCTGGTAAAAAAAAAAAAAAAAAAAAAAAAAAAACACTTGTCAATACCCTCATAAGGCAAACAAATTGGTAAGGAACGACTTCAATACCTGAACTTATCGCAGAATGGCAAGCTCCAGAAACTGCGCCACTTGGTTGTGCGTTTGCAATAAAACTGCCTTTGGAATAGAAGAAAACGTGATTCCCTGCACAGCCATGGTCACGGGTCGGACCAAAACAATAAGTTGAAGGGGACGGGGTACAACTAATAGCTAAAGAAGCTCCAAGATCAAACCAATGAAGTACCACTTCAAAACCTACCTCAAAGCATATGCCAATAATATATAATAAGATTGTGTAGATATATATATATATATATATATATATATATACAAAAACTGTTCAAATTGCACCAACGGCCGCCGCAGGCGCTACAGCAATAGCACCAAAAAGAAGTAAAGTAAAATTCCGGAGGAAAATATTAGAGCATGACAATCAAAAACATCTTTCGAAAGTCAAGCATTGAAAAGTGCAGCAGAAACTCGCACCCCAATGCTCAACTACACTAACCCACCAAGGAATCTCACAACCCCCGTCCCCCACGAAACCTCTCAGCAACGCCCATCTCATACCCAATTCAGATGAACGGAACCTCGTGCATACAGGTGCAAATTACGTACGTAGAATCTCAGACCGCCGCAAACGCGCTAAATTTGCACTTTAAGCGAGCTGCGGATTCAAGAACTCTAACGCGAAATGTCAACACTCTTATTCTCACAAAGCGAACAGAGAATCACGAAACGCACCTGGGTGTGCACTTGCATGGGCAGGAAAACCTACGTATGCATGCCGAAAGCGGTGGAATCAGAAGGGACATGTGGGTTGAAGCCCTTTGCACAATTGCTCGGTGACATGACCGTCGAGGGGACAGGGCCCCACGCCACTCTTGGTTTGGCTCTGATTCAGCAACCAAAATACTATTCTTTTTTAAAGTAAAAGTAAAAAGTAACGTTTCATGACATTTATAAAAAGACAACATTTGTATCTTTAGTTTTACTATCTTTTGACTATTATTTAAATTTCTAAGATAATTTTCTATAATATTTTGAAATAAGATCTTCGATAATATAATTTTTTTTTCATTCTTTTACATATTAGCTATGTTATATTATAATATCAATTCCTCCCTGAACTTGTACATTCTCTGACATATACCAAGTTTTTTTCATTACATTGATATAGAATGTTCTTTATTTTGGTCAAATTCTTGATCTTTAATTTTTTCTTCTATTTCTATCTCAATTTCTTGTAATATAGTTTGTTCTTCATTAAAACAAATATCTTCATCTCTTTCTTTAAATAACTTGATTTACTTGCTTGGTATAGGTATCTTTAATTTTATACCATCAAGTTCTTATGACAAGTATATTCTTTTATTGTATACATATTTGACAACATAAGGTTCAATCTATCTCTTTATATTTTTTTTTGTTGTGTTATGTTGATTATCCAAGCTACTATCATAAACTAACATCCAATCACTATCTTCAATTTTCTTAGATTGTAGTCAATGTTTTTTATCAAATTTTTCTTTATTCTTTTTCCTTGCTTCTTTCAACCTCTCTATTGCTACTTCAATATCATTAGATATTCTTTTAAATTATTAAATTTGTAATGCTAAAAGTCTTCTATTGAAATTATTCTTTCAAGGTAATATAATTCATGTAGGTACTACCTCTTCTATTAGCATTATTAAATTTTGTCCATATATTCATTCAAAAGACATATAACTTGTTATTAAACTATAAATTATGTAATTTGTCCATAGTACAAATAGTAGTAGTCTAAGCCATTTATATCCTTTGCCATTGCATGCCTTTATTAATATCTTAATAATAGATGAATGTCCATGCTCATTCTTACTATTACCTTTTATATTATTGTTAGGGACATATTCCTTAGAACTTTCTAGAGAGAAGTTTCTAGAACCTTCTAGAAAACAAGCCTCTGGAACCTTCTAGAAGAAAAGCCTCTGGAACCTTTTAGAGAGAAGTTTCTAGAAGCTTCTAGAAAAGAAGTCTCTAGAACCTTCTAGAAGAGAAGTTTCTAGAAGCTTCTAGAAAGGAATCCCCTGGAACTTTCTAGAAGCTTCCTACTTAATAGAAGTAGCTCGAGAAGTTTCTAGAACCTTCTAGAAAGGAAGCCTCTGGAACCTTCTAGAAGCTTCCTAGTTAATAGAAGTAGCTCGAGAAGCTTCCTAAGTAGGAGTATATATAGGGATCGAGGCTGAAGAGTTCTTCAGTCTCGACAACACATCTCTTGGAGTTCTAGCTCACCTTTCTGGTGTTGTTCTTGTACTCATCTGTTTAATCTAGTTTTGCCACTTCTTCTTGAACTTCTTGTTAGATTTCAAGTCTGTATTTTGTGTCCGTGACAGTTTGTCGAGACTACACTAACTTGAGATATCAGAGCTAGTTCTTTCTTAATAGAGTGTGGATTACCCCTCTACTTGAAGGTATACTAGCATTTTTTAGAGGTTGCGGATTACCCTCCTCTAAACTGATACTTCTTCTGTTACAATATTGGAGTCTTATTCTTCTTGGAGAGAGTGGATTACCCCTCTTCTTGAAATTCTTAAGGCATTTTATAGGTTGTGGATTACCCTCCTATAAACCAATATTGCCTCTTATAGGGACATTTTTGTCCTTCTTTTAGAATGGCCGGAGGTCAAGACATTAGTATGACAGAAAGTTCGGAGTCTAAGTTAGATGCTATTATGAATGCCCTCGCTACGTTATCACAAAGAACTGCAGAGATTGAAGGAGTGGTGGCAAGGCTTCATAATGATGGAGTATCTGGGATAGCACAATCTAAACTACACCAGCCTCAAATTTCGGCACTTGGAGAAACAACTTTACCTCAGGTTCGACAAGAACCACTAGTTCTACAACATAAGGAGCCTCGAGTTAGCCTTCCAGATAAGTTTGATGGAACACGTTCCAAGTTTCAAGGATTCGTCAATCAAATCAGGTTGATAACAATTTTACAGCCCGAACGATATCCAACGGAGGAGTCACGTGTTGGGCTTGTTGGAACCTTACTTACGGGACAAGCTCTATCATGGTTTGCTCCTTTGTTTGAGAAACGATCATCCATATTAAACAACTTCGAAACCTTTTTGGAAGCATTTGGTGAACACGATAAGGTTCGATGGGCTACAACAAAGATCCGGTCGCTACGACAAGGGATGAGTTCTAAATCAGTCTATGCTTCGAATTTCAGGCAATTAGTATGCGACATCAATTGGGATGAAGAAGCGTTGATGAGTCAATTCTATTGGGGTTTAAGAGATGATGTGAAGGGTTTGCTGTTAACTCTTCCTGATCCTTGAACGCTCAATGAAGCCATTAGCCAAGCTGTGAAGTGCGATAATCGCCTATTCCAACGTCGCTAAGATCAACGCTCAAGACAACATACAATTCGTCATGCTCCAACTATGTCGGCAAGCGGTGTGAATTCGCATTCAGAGGTGGAAGACATACAAATTGATGCGGTACGTATCAAATCTCTTACTATAAAAGAAAAAAAGCGACGTATGGAGAAAAATTTATGCTTATATTGTGGTGGAGAAGGCCACAAAGTCGGAAACTGCCCCAAAAAGCAAAATCGAGGCATAGTCAAGACTAGGGGAGTATTTGTTTAGGAAAACGAGGATGCCCAGCCACAGTAGGAACCGTGCGGCTGGACAATGAAATATCCCAACAACAATCAGGTTCCTTTCTTTCTGCCCAACCTGCACTTTGTTTTACAATCCCTCTGTTTATCGGCCCTCAAAAACTGAGAACCTTAGCTTTACTAGACTCAGGAGCATCTGCTTGTTTTTTAGACGAAGAATTTGTAAAGCATCATAAGATCCCTTTAGTATAAAAATCAAAACCTGTTCATGTTGAGGTTATAGATGGGCGACCTTTATTGTCTGGTAGCATCACCCATGAATCAAAACCTATAGAAGTAACGTTTAAAGACCATAGTAGTCATATTATTTTTAATATTATTAGAATCCCATCAAATCCTATTATTCTTGGTCTTTCTTGGTTGGAAAAACATAATCCATTGATAGATTGGAGGTTGCAGAAGATGACTTTTCCCACAAAACCACCCAAGAAAAAACCTATTAAAAAACCTCGAAAAAAGAAATCCTTATTCATTGGAACAAGAGCGTTTATAAGATCATCTAAGGAAGGCACTCCATTTGTCATTTATGCGGCTCCAACTACCGAGGAGAAGATCTCAACAGCAAGTATATCGGAGCAATATAAAGATTTTGAAGACGTGTTTCAAAAGAAGAACGCCGACATACTACCGGAACACCGACCATATGATTGTGCCATAGACTTGCAAGAAGGAGCACAACCACCTTTTGGCCCAATCTACAATCTATCGCAAATGGAGTTGGTAGAGTTACGAAAGTACATCGACGAGAATCTAGCCAAGAACTTCATTCGTCATTCAAAATCATCAGCTGGAGCACCCATCTTATTTGTGAAGAAGAAAGATGGATCATTACGGATGTGTGTGGACTATCGAGGCCTCAACAAGGTAACAAAGAAAAATCGTTACCCATTACCCTTGATTTCTAGTCTCTTAGAACAACTTGGACGTGCGAAGATCTTTACAAAAATTGATCTAAGGGGAGCTTATAATCTCGTACGAATCAAGGAAGGAGATGAGTGGAAGACAACATTCCGTACAAGGTATGGTCATTTCGAATATAATGTCATGCCTTTTCGTCTTACCAATGCTCCAACGGTTTTCCAACATATGATGAATGACATCTTTCGAGAACACCTCGACGATTTTGTTGTCATCTACTTGGACGATATTCTAATATTCTCTAAAAACGAGGAAGAGCATGAGGAGCATGTTCGTTTGGTCTTGGAGAAACTACGCAAGCGAGGACTATATGCCAAATTAGAAAAGTGTTTATTTCACCAGACGGAGATGGAATTTTTGAGGTTCATTGCGACTACAGAAGGTTTGAAGTTGGACCCCAAGAAAGTAGAAGCAATCATGACTTGGGAGGTTCCGAAGACGGTTAGAGACGTACAATGCTTTCTTGATTTTGCTAACTTCTATCGGATCTTCATCAAGAATTATTCTCAAGTTGCTGCTCCTCTCACTCGATTAACATGCAAGGATAAGTTGGAATTGGGACCTTTGGCGGAGAAGGCGTTTCAAGATTTGAAGACAACATTTACTACAGCTCCAATTTTGGTACATCCAGACTTTATAAAGGCCTTCTATTTAGAAACTGATACTTCAGATTTTGCTTTGGGAGCTGTGCTTTCACAAATGAGTGAAGATAAGAAGCTCCATCCAGTTGCATTCTATTCTCGGAAGTTCTCTGCTGCTGAAATCAATTATGAGATCTACGATAAGGAACTTCTTGCTATAGTGGATTCTTTCGAAGAATGGCGTCACTTTCTTGAAGGAGCTACACATCCAGTAACCGTATATACGGATCACAAGAATTTGGAGTATTTCATGACGGCTCGAGTTTTAAATCGATGTCAAGCTCGGTGGAATATGTCACTATCTAGATTCGATTTTGTTATCACTTATCGACTTGGAAGGCAGCAAGGACTATCCGATGCTTTATCAAAGAGATCGTATCTTGTACCAAAGGCTGGAGAAGCAGCGTTTGATCAACAATGTACAACGTTATTGAAGCCAGAGAGAATTCAACTTTGTGCTACTATTGTATCATTTGATGCTGACTTCCTAAACCACGTATGTGCTA